TGTTGCACGCCCTCCCGCGCGCCTACACTCCCCTGTGTATGTTGCACCGCATGCCAGAATGATTCAGCCGCGCCATGGCTGCTCCACTCTCCGCCGCCATGCTGTTTCACTTCCTCCTCCTCGCCGCTCGCCTCCTGGACAGGGAGTAGCCCCACCCCCACTCTAACCGTCTTGCTGCCCCGTGCATCCCTTCCCCGCCTTCGGCCCCCCTCCCCGCCGCCCCCCGTCCCCAAAGCCAAGATGCAGATACTTTCTTTCAGCTCGCAGCGACTTTTCTTCGACGCCAGCGCCGAGAACCAGAGCTATGACATTGTTGCCACCAACAACACCGACGAGCATGCCTATTTTAAAGTCCGGACAAACAACCCCCGCCAGTACTTCGTGCGCCCCTCCCTCGGGTCCATCCCCCCCAATGGCTCGCAGGTGATTTCTTGTACGTCTCCCCCCCTCGCCTCACTTTTCTCTCCTTCTCCCTCCCCTTGCTGACGTCTCTCTCTCTCTCTCTCTTCCTCCTGCCACCCCTCTGCGGCCGTGCCCCAGTCGTCCTCGTCCACGGAGTAACCCCCCAGCCGGACCACCGTGACCGCTTCATCATCCTGGCCGCCCCGATCTCCAAGGAGCAGCATGATGCTCGCCAGGCCTCTGGTGCTGACATCGTACGTGCCGCCCCATTTCCTGTCACCTCCCCTCGTCGCCGCTGCGTCTCCGCCCCTCCCTCCCTCTCTAACGAGCTTGTTGCCCCCCCCCCCCCAAAAAAAAACAATGCCTTCTCCCCCCCCCTCTCTCTCTTCCCCCCATTCAGTGGGAGGATGTTAGCAAGGCTTACCCCGACTTCCAGAAGACCAAGATGGACGTCAAGATCCAGTTCCCCACTGAGGCCGACGCCGCTGCCAAGAAGGCCGACGCCGCTGCCAAGCCCGCTGCCACTGCCTCCGGCTTCCAGGCCACTCCCGCCTCCTCAGATGCCACCCTGCAGCAGCGCAAGCCTGCCACCGGCGCCGCCAAGCCCGCTGACGCCCAGGTTTCCTCCCGCGTACGTGCATTGCCTCCTCCCGCTGCGCCATCTCGCCCTTGTCCGGCCCTGCGCCGAGCATGCTGCAGCAGACCGTCTGACCCCTCTCCCTGCGTCTCTCTCTCTCTCTCTCCCGCGCCTGATGTGCACACCGGCTCCCCCATGCGCAGGCCCCTGCCAGCACCGCGACCACCGTCACCAAGAAGTCCGGCACCAGCCCCATGCTGTTCATCCTGCCGCTGGTCATCCTGCTCGGTATTGCCGCTGCCTACTTCTTCAAGTTCAAGTGATTGGCTCCCGCCCCCCCCCTCCCGGAGCGGAGGAGACCCCCCCCCTTCCCAGCCCCCTCCTCCCCCTTTCTCCGTATGCGCGGCGCCGCCTCCCTCCTT